AAAATTCTAGCATTTTTTAAGTGCTTATTTGTTAGCACTTATTCAATTTTTTTCTTCCAAAATTATCCCGAGTTGAATTTTAAACTACCACTTATAAAATTATCTCTAGTTGAATTTTATAAAAGTATTTTTATGAAAGCACTTTTATGAAAGTACTTTTATGAAAGCACTTTTTCAAGACCATTTTTATAAAAGTGCTTTTATGAAAGCACTTTTATGAAAGTATTTTTACAAAAGCACTTTTGTGAAACTTTCGAAAGGGTACTTTCATAAAAGTACTTTTATAAAAGTGCTTTCATAAAAGTGTTTTTATAAAAATAATTTAATAAAAGTGCTTTCATAAAAGTGTTTTTACGAAAATAATTTAATAAAAATGCTTTCAAAGGGTATATTTTGAAAATTTGAAAGAAAATGAAGGACAAAATAGTCACAAATGCTTAATAGAGAAAAAGACTACCAAACGCTCAATATAAAATAAGCACCTGAAAAAGTTGGATGCCAAATGCAAATAAATACACTCGTTCACCAACCTGATTCTATGGAGCGAAAAAATCTGACTTGAGAAAGAAAATTCTCGCCTCAACTCATTCTCACATCATCGGCGGTGTTCGGCACCGCATTCATCTCGTGGACAGAACACCTATTTGGTTGGTTGTGGACGGGACTGGTCCACGATTTCTTGTCCACACCCCAATTTAGTGGCAACGGGAAAAACTCGTAGATAAGGTCCGTCCACAGTCTATTTTCAATCCCCTGCTTCACACTCTCCCTAAAAGGCTGAAACCCTATATTGTTTATTTCACATTTTACCATTGGAGGTCACCGCTGCCCGCCCATTGAAGCTCTCCACCACCGGTCCACCTACCGATATAAGTTTCTCTCCGCCCGCTAAAGTTTCCCTCTTTCTCTCTCTCTCTTCAGTTCCGCTGCAATGTCACCATAAACTTTGTGCTTGTGAAATTACCTTCTCTAAAACTTTGTGCTTGTATTAGTGAAATAAACTTTGTGTTTATTCTTCAATTTTTAAGTAAAACTAATTATTTTACTTAATTTTTATAATTTTTAATATTTTTATCAATGAAATAATATTTTTAAATTTTTAAAATATACTTTTTTATTTTTTAAATTATTTTACTATTGTTTTTATAAAAGATTAATATTTATTGGTTAATATTAATTCATTGATGCATTTTTCAATATATTTATCATATAAAATGCAAAAATTAGATATTTATGATTAACTGTATAGATCTTTCATAAAATGTATATGGGATATATGGAATCAAAGAGTGTGGTGTGTACCAATCCACACCATGCCTAAAGAGCGCCATTGTGGGTGCTTTCTGGTCAAACAATTTGTCCACAATTCAAAATAGCTGCAGATTATGGTATGATGTGGATTGGTCCTGATGCTGTGCAATCCGGGCACTCCTAACTGGCAACTGACTGGCTCCTGGCTAGCAACGAATGGTACCTGAGAAGAAGACGGTGAAAGATTCCCGGGGGACTTGCCCAGTGGGAATACTCTGATGCCTAAGTTAGAACGCTGGAGAAAGCAGTAAAGAGTGTAGAGAAGGCTAAGAGTGTAGATCGCGCTAGATCATTGAGTTAGCTCGAGAGAAAGTTCGAGTAAGTTCAAAAGAAGATACTCAAGGTATTCGAGAGAGCCCTTCCCTTCAACTAGGGTGCTCTTATATACGAGCGTTCTTGTCAAATCGGGCGTAACCGCCACTAGACCTCTATCGCAGTCGTTATCTGCCAGGGCTGCGCAGGTAACCGTTGCAGAGTACTACCCAATCGGATGAGTGACACGTCTCGGAAGGACAGGCATGCCACCATCTGTCGAGAGACGTGGGCGCAGTCCTGTCGGGCTGGCAGGGACTTCGCCGTCGGTTAGGAAACATGGTGCAGTCTGGCGGGTACGGTCTTGTCAGATGGAAGCTTCCTGAAAACATTGTGTCGCTTAGTTGCGAGCTGCCTTGTAGCGAGCTATCCTGTCGCAAACTACCTTGTAGTGAGCTCCTGAGGGTATTGTGGGGTGATTCCTCTTGAAGTGGCCCTTGAGGCAATTTTTCTGCCTAAGTATTGGACCGAGCTGGTTGTTCTACCTCGCGAGCTGGGATAGACTTGTCTTGGAGTATTCCCTTTGTACATCAAGGGTCCTCACAGCTCGCGCTATAGCGAACTCTCCCTATGGCGAGCTGTGACGTAACGAGCTGTCCTACGGGCTTGTTACTTAGTCGCGGTGAGGCTGTTGTGCTAAGCTGTTACTTGTGCTGAGTCATGTTCACGTGTCACCGTCTCAAGGGATCGTGTCAAATCACCCTCCATTGGGTATGGTGTGAGCCATTGCACACCCACCAATTTTTCATCTATACTACAGAACACCCCCGTCATTATAGTAAAAAATCGAACGTGAAAGTAAGAGTTCTATGGTAAACTCTCACTCTATACTTGCCTCTTCCCTCTATACTTGCGGACTTGCCTTTCCTCTATACTCCTTCCCTCTATACTTGCCCTTCCTTCTCCTTGTTACCGGCTGCTTGTACCTTTCGACTGGACAATTCCCTCCAGCCGTCGACCATCTTCGAGGAAGCCAAAGCCCAAGTGCGACGACTCCATTTCTTTACTGTTTTCTCCGTTTCATCTTATCTACGCAAATCTCTGGCATGCTTCTAAGTATATATTTTCTGTCGACTATTGAGAGAATTTGAACATGGTGTCAAACAGGAAGCAGGAAGCAATACCGTAGATAACAAATGTTGATTCCCCTTGATTCCATAATTGACTCGCCCTGATCTGAAATTAATTCTAATGGCTACTAGAAATGCATTTCATTTCTCCCCTCCTTTCTTTTTGACGACCATTCACAATCCTTATCGCCAAATTCAAGTTTTCAAGCCACCAAACCATCTCTCTACTTCAATCCTGCAAATCGATGAAGGAGACGAAAGAAATCCATTCTCATATCCTCCATACAGACCAAATCACAAACACATTTGTTGCTACTAAGATGATAGAGTACTGTGTGGTGTTTGCTCGCAATATGGATTGAGCTCTCCGTGTTTTCGATTGTATTGATGAACCTAATGCTTACACATGGACGACCACTATCGAGTGTTTCACGGAGATCAAAATCCCTTAGAAAGGTATTGAATTAATGAATTCTATGGTTTTATGAGAGCGCAAGGTGTTGAACCGAATAAATTCACCTTCATATTTGTTCTCAAGGCTTACTTTTTAATACCCAGATGTCAGAAAGGCAAAATCGTTAATGGAAAACTCCTGAAGCTTGGACTTTGTTCTGATGTATTTCTTCATAATGCACTAATTCACACGTACTCAAATTGTGGAGATGTGAAGGCAGAATATTGTCTATTCGAAGAAGTTCCTACTTACAATGTGGTTAACTGGAATACGATGATAAATGCTTGCTTTGCCTTTCTGAGGAAAAATAAACCGATTAATGATGTTTCCTTGGGTTCTTTTCTTGTAGACATGTATGCAAAGCGTGGATGCATTGACCTAGCCCTTAAAGTCTTTAATAGCATTCAACATAAGAATGTATGTTCTGGGAATGCTATATTATGTGAACCATCCATGAATGGTTATGGCAATGATGTCTTAACAACATTCAAACAGATGGAACTTGCTAATGTAAGACCCAATGACATAACATTTGTAGGGATTCCGTCTGCTTACAGTCATGTGGGTTTGGGGGATGAGGGTCGTAGGCAAATCAACCACATGGTCGAGTTCAAATCCTATCAAAAATTGAACATTATGGTTGTATGGTAGTTGGTTGATGTTCAACCACACTGTCATGAAATTTTTTGTCACACAATTCTAGATATTAAATTTAGTCATGGACTCATGGTCCACTCTGAACTATTTTGGCAAAATAGGTCATTTAATTTCAAATGGGGCTATTTATATCTACAGACCAAAAAAATCAGGTCATTTAATTTAATATCGAAAGATAAAGGACCCTATACTAGCCTATAGCAAAGGGTAAATTACAAACTACCCTATAGAAAAGGGTAAATTACAAACTATCCTATACTACCCTACAATGAAAGGCAAGGGAGAACAATTTGGAGATCACCATACACTGGAAGCAAACCTCAAAATAAAGATCTACATTATTCTGAATTGATATAACATCACATAAGTGAGGTTCATTGTGCAAACAAGTTAGCAGCACACTGTTTAAGAACAATATGAAAGGCAGGGCAGTTGATATTCTCAGCATAAAGATCTACTATCAATTTAGGGAAATGTAGGGATATTATAGTCAGTTCATGCCTTGCATGTTAAAGATAATTGAGCCTCTTCTGTTGCATGCCTTACATGATATCTATGACCAATTGTTTACACTAGAGCACATCATTTTCCATGTTTTGAATTATTGATGCCTATAATAGGTATTATACAAGTGTTGCATTATCCAGTGTTATATTTGATACACGTGTCCAACACATGGTGATGTATGATTTGGTTTTATGCATTATTCATCTAGATAATTGATCTGGGGAAACATGATGATACCAAACATAATTATAATTCTGAGAAATATGAATTAGATGTTCTCTTGATGAAAATTCTCAAAACCTTTTTTTTTTTTTTGAAATGATTTTGAGAATGAGAATTTTTAGAATTGATGCCAAACAGGACCTAATGTTTGGTATGCCAAACAGGACCTAGACGATTTAAACTTGAAAGGAGGTAGATGGAGCCAAAACTACTGGCATGTCAGATGTCACCCTTGGACTGGTCCCTGACCCAGGGATAATACACTCTTTGGGAGAACTGGAGAACTTTGAATCGTGAACGTGGCCTGCATGGGACCCATAAACAGTTTTCTCAGTTGTTGTGTTGTGCAATGGCGACGCATGAACCAGATATCAACATCCCACCAAGGCATTAACGCTAACGAGAGAGACCACTCACCAAGTTACCGCATCAGCAGAAGTAGAAAACTATGCACAAAAGCCGAGATATGAATAGGACTTGGGACGTAAAATTGTCCCATATAACTCAAACCCTTCTTGCGTCCTACAATTTTTTAGAAACACGCAACCCTCAAGTCTCAGACTCTCAGCTAAGCTAATGGTTACTTTTTGGAATTATCTGTATGTGGTCCAGTTATCTTCAACTACAGCAATCATATACATCTTAAATACACCATACCAATAAACACGAATTTTACTTACATTTTTCTAGGAGATAAAGAAAAAAAAAAGGAAAAAAGACAAAAAAAGACCACCCAAGAGGAAAACAAAGGTGAACCGTCTGATCAATTGCTTCCAGCCGTTGATTTGGGCCTTTTTACAATCAAAACAGGACAACTCGCATTCTGCGCGCAGTGATTACTGACACTCCCAAGAAATGCCCTGCAGAAGTGGCAAATTAAAAAAGAAGAAAAAAAGATTTTAGGAGAATTGAGGTGGAATTAAAAAATAGAAAAGTAATTCAAGATATTGATAACAATCTGGTACATTGTCATCATATAGATATATGGTGCCCTCAAATCAAATCATTTCTTCTCTTTTGTTGAAGAGAAATCAAATCACTTCAAGGAACAAACTACACTTAATTAAAATCAAACAAATTCTTCAATTTGTGAAGCAATGGGGTCAGGGGCACTTATGTCATTTTCCAATTTGAGATTACAGTTGACTTCTGATTAAGAAGAAACTTACCTTTTAATCAGACCGTAGCCATGGCTTCCCATGACCAGCATATCGGCACCGAGCTTCCCAGTCATCTCGCATATCACATCCCTTGGATCTCCATGCTCCACCTTTGTCTCCACTTTAACCTATACACAGCCTACAACTGTTATTACTTTTAATTAATCAAGAATTAAATAAAAATCAAAGGGTTGAAGTACAAAAAGACCATTTTATCCACAAACAAACGAAATAATGACCTACATTTTGAAGATCTCTGCACAGCGTCTTGGCCTTCTCTATGACACAACCGGCAACGTCGTTACTGTATTTCTCCATGGTCGTAATAATATCCGAGGAAAACATATACCCTACAAAAAAAAGGAATCAAATACCACCGCATTCGGATTTCGGCATTCTATATTCAAATGTAAGGGGCAAAACAAATACTAAATACCTTCCGAGTACCCCCTCCTACCTGTTCCGTCTAAAGCAGTGTAGACGACACGGGGAGGTTTTACATAGAGCAGGATAAGGGTATCTTTGGAACTTTCGCATATTAAGTTCTTCAGACACCAGGATAGCGCGTACATGCTCTCCTCCCCTTCGTCCACCGCCACCAGGATCCTGCGCTCCTTTGCTTCAGCGTCAGCCATTGAAACGGCACGCCGCACACGCTTACCTTCGCCGGAAAACCGGAAATCTCACCAAAACCGGGCAACTGCGTAGTAAAAAGTAAGAAGTAAGAACCCTCCAAAGCTCGCAAGTCCGAGTGGTTCTTATAGTGAGAGATGGGATGGGTACTGGGTAGGCAGAATCTGGTTTCAGTTTCTCTCGGCGGTTTTAATATTGTGGGACCCATCAACAAGGTTTATCTACTTCTTCGGAATTCAATTGAAAATGATCCATGTGTCTTTCTGAAATTACAAATACGGCCATCCTAGGACAAGGTTATTAGTATAGTCACGTCAATTTTGTAGTTTGAATTGATAATGGAGGATATTTTAGTAATTGAGCATTCGACAGAGGATAATAAGGAACCAGAAACAGCGGCCGCGATAATGAAACCAGAAAGGCAGAAACCACGTCGGCACATGGCAGTTTGGGTTTCCGTTCTTTATTTACTAATGACAAGCGGGGGATCGTGTCAATCTTCAATTCGGTCTCTGGAGAAAAAATCAGAAGACGAATTGGATATTATATTAGTAGGGTTTCCTGGACCCCATTTCCCAAAAGAAAAAACAAATTGAACCAGGGAAAAAATAAGGAAGGGATCTCAAACATTTGGACTCCACCCTTTGACTTGGACAATCGTTAGCCACGTCAGCCTGATACATACGAGATCGAATCAGTTAATGGTTCCTTCGTTCTATCAATTTAAAAGTTGTCCAAATGTCACTTGTTACGTGGCAGGGGTTTGTGTTTGACAACGGATAGACATGGAATGGGAATAATTGGGGTCATCTCGCTAGAGGGGCGGGCGGGGCGGCTGCTGAGCGAATCCCGATTTTCTCTTCAGAGAGCATTCCTCGCACCGATTTTCACGGTCCAATTTGAAAAAGATTTAAAACAGAACCAAATAAATTATAGTCTGAAAATTTTTTAAGCCAAATCAAACCATTTTAATATGTATACTTATTAATATGATTTGGGCCAAATCAGTTCTATCATGGTCTAGCCCAATTTTTATTATGATTTGGGCCTTTCCATATTTAACTCAATTAAAAAGCCCAAATAATATGTATACTTACATAAATAATAAATATAATTTAAATATTAAATTGAAATATTAACAAATGCCACCCATTATCATTATACAAATTACATTTACACTTTTTCAAACAAAAATAGCTTCTTAGACATCAAATTACAAGTTAAAAACTGAAATAAAGAATAGCAATATCAAAAATGTTAAATGAACATATAAAAAAAAAAACAAACAAAATCAAACTGTTTTAAGGCCATATTAAATCCACAAATTTCAATTTGGTTCGAGGTAGTTTGGTGGCTACAAATTTCTGTGATCTTGGTGTGATTGTGTGAGGACGCTATATAAGGCTAAGTTTGGAAGGAATGTAAATGCAAATATGTAGAGTGTAAAATCTTATTTTTTATATTATTTTGTATGTATTTAACATTGTATATTTTTGTATTTATACTCTTCCAAACTGAGTTTAAATAGAAAATCCAATTTATTGGTGAGCACTAGATGCTTAATCAACCGAGCAAAGTAAGTGACAAGTTAGGATATTGATGAGAATGAAAATTATCATATTTTTATCTCTTAACATTTAGTCTTTTATACTCATTTACTGTCTAATTGAACTCACTATTCTTAAATTTCGATTTAGGGCACGAAATGAGGCGTTAGGTGAAAAACAAGGTTAATCAGGTAATTTTGCACAGTTTCGGCGTTGCGTGGTAAGTTAGGCATAACTCCCCCATCCGGACTCTGATTGATATGATTCAAGATACATTAGAAAGATAAGGAAAATCTCTATAACTTTCATTTTTTAAGTTTTGATAGATTCGGAATGCATCTAGGTCAAAATCTGGCCTGAAGTCTCTACAAATTCGTAGAGAAGCCTAATCCGCAGAGAAACCCCAATTCGTTGGAGAAGACCAACCCAATTCAGCATGCAGTAGTAGGGCCCACTCACCACTCCTAATAAAATTCGGCTAAGAGTCTTAATCAGATCTGATTTTTATTGTAATCTTAAAAAAAGAAAAGAGTTAGAATCCAACTTAATTAAGAGTTTCTATTTAGAAATAAGGATAAGATTATATATGAATTAAGCCTTATCCCATTAGTAGATAAGACTTTCTATTTTTTGAGAAGGAACTCCTAAGAGGAGTTGGAAACAGCCACTCCACCAAAGGCTAAAAAAAGGGGGGCGGACTAGCAAGGAGGCACCACAACACCACTCAACCTTGGGGACAAGAACTCAGCAAACAAGGGAGAAAGAAAGCAAATTTGGAGCAGCGGAGCCTCTCTTCTCCTCTCTTCTCTATTCTCTGATTTTTCTTGAGTTTTCACCATGACCATGCGTGGCTAACTCTAATACTTGGTCAAAGGAAATAGAAGCCTCAGAATCCACCAAACGGTGAGATCTAATTTGATTTTTATTGTTTGATTTCTGCTTTGAATATCGAATGTTCTTCTATGTTCTTGTTCATGATTGTTTCGCCTGATTACCAGGAGGCCTACTAGTTTATTATTTGTTACGATCTACTGCTAGATTAGATATCAAATCCGTAATTGTTTGATCCCTCTACTTTGCGAAACAACTAGGGTTTAAATATTTACTGCGTCAGAAATCATTAGATCTTAGGAAGAACACTCGACTAAATTAAATGCAACCCCTTGTGCTTGTGTTGTTTAGCTTCATCGATCTCCAATGCTTAAGGCTATTGCTGGATTAAATCTTTAACGCTTGTGTAAGGGTTGTTCAGTAGTAATGGTTAAGATGATCGCTTGTTTTCTGATTAACTATGGTAGGGAGATATAGGAAACCAAATCCTACGATGAATATTCAAAGTCTGAATTGATTTATTTTTGCATCGATGAGCAGTAGTGAAATTCTAATGGTGGATGTTATCCTAGACCAAGACTCGTTCTTTTGATTAGTCTCAGTACTCTGAATCACCTTGTTTCCCATTTAAATTTCGTTATTTTTAATTTTGATTTTCTTTTTTTTTTAATTCTGGTTTTCGTCGCATACAACCCCCCCTCCACCTTTGTTCACATAGCACATAATTCAGGTTAGATACTCTCTGTGGGAGTGATCCTTACTCACGCTACTGCATTTAATTTTATGAGTATAGGTTTTATTTTTGGGTGCCTACAACAGCACGCCAAATTTTGGCGCCGCTGTCGGGGAGTTTTTCTAATCAGTTTTTGTGCTTTTCGTGATCATTGTTTTGTTTCTTGAAATTATTTTTAGCCTAGAGTATTTTCTATCTTATTTATTAATTTATTTATTCATTCTAGATTTTTTTATGGTATGTCGCTCATGGTTTATTAAGGTTTCCTTGATTTATGCCTGTAACTCGATTCTCTAAAGAATGTGATTTGTAGTTCGATCCAGAAATAAAGGGGACTTTGCACAGGTTAAGGAGGGAAGCTCAGAGTCATTCTGAAAAAACGATCCAGATCTTGATTCCTTATCTGTTAACGGTTCTTATTTGAGAGAAGAGGACATCATGGCTGGAAACCGAACCTTGAAAGAACTAGTTGCACCTGATTTGAATCAACAACCCTTATGCATAACTTTTCCTTCTTTAGATGTTGATGCTAATTTTGAATTGAAATCTGTACTGATACATCTCTTGCCTACATTTCACAGTCTTGCAGGTGAGGATCCTCACAAGCATCTGGAGGAGCTGCATGTGGTATGCACAAGTATGAAGCCCACGAAGGTGACTGAAGAACAAATCAAATTGAGATCCTCTCCGTTTTCTATGAAGGATTGGTTCTATTATCTACCCTCCGGGAGTGTTACCACATGGAACGAAATGAAGAGACTATTCTAAGAGAAGTACTTCCCAGCTTCAAGGGTGGCCAACATAAGAAAGGAAATCTGTAGTGTAAGGCAGTACAACGGGGAATCCTTACATGAATACTGGGAATGTTTTAAGAAATTATGTGCAAGCTGCCCCTATCATCAAATCAGCGAGCAGCTACTGATCCAGTATTTCTATGAGGATATTCAACCCACTGATAGGAGCATGATTGATGCTGCTAGTGGAGGAGCTTTATTGGATAAAACTCCCAAGGCCGCAAGAAACCTAATTGCAAATATGGCGGCCAACTCTCAACAGTTCGGCTATAGGCTCAACCCTCCATCAAAGCATGCTAATGACGTAAATATCTCTTCCCTACAACAACAAATTGCAAGTTTGACTTCTCTTGTTCATCCAATGGTTGTTGGTAACATGCAAATGGTAAAGGCTTGCGGGATATGTTCGGTAGTAGAGCATCCAACTGATATGTGCCCAACTCTTCCAAAGGAGCCAGTTGAGCAAATAAATGCATCAGGTGGTTTTCCAAGGCAATCGCATAGGAAATATGATCCCTATTCAAACACGTATAATCCGGGATGGAGGGATCATCCCGATCTCAGTTATGGGAATCCACAAAACTGCCCGACTTTCCAGCAATATCAGTCGCACCCCCCAGACAACAGCCAACCCAAACTTCTAATTCAAGTATGTCTTTAGAGGATATTGTCAAATCTCTTGCCACTAACACTTTGCAATTTCAGCAGGAGACAAGGGCCAGTATCCAACATTTGGACAATCAGATGGGCCAAATAGCAACCGCAATTAATCGGTTAGAGGTGCCAGTATCCAACGTTAGGACAATCATTTTGAGAAGTGATGAAGAGGTTGAAACTCCAGCAAGGGCAGTCCCTGCATCGTCGAATCAAGAAAAGGAGAAAGACACCATTCCCGATGATGATGAAGTACCTAAGCGTAAGTTTTCGCCCCTTTCTGATTATAAACAAGTACCTCCTTTTCCTAATGCTTTAGCAGGTTCTAGAAAAGATGAGCAGTATAAAGATTTTTACGAGACTTTTCGTAGATGCGAGGCAAATATTCCCCTTTTTAATGCTCTTAAACAAGTACCTCATTATGCTAAATTTCTGAAAGAATTGTGCACACATAAAAGGAAACAGAAATTGAAAAGATGTGAGAAGGTGAGAGTAGGGGAGAATGTTTCTGCAGTCATTAAAAAACTCCCTACAAAGTGCGAAGATCCAGGTTTGTTCAC